TGAGAGTAGCTCAGGAAAACCAAAATGATAGTTGCAAAGGAGAAACAATAAGACTAAGATCTGATTTCTTACCAGAAACCATGTAAGGAAGAAACAGGATAACATATATAAAACTTTTAAAGAAAAAAAAAAAAGCCAACCAAGAATCATATACCCAGTAAAATTGTCCCTCATCTATGACAGCAAAATTAGGACATTTCCAGATGAACAGAAACTAAAGGAATTTGTAAAAACCAGACCAATGTTACAAGAAAAACTAAAGGGAGTTCCTCAGACAGAGAACCAATAATAGCAGACAACAACCTGAGTTTGACATACATGATACCATCACCCAGAAGCCAACTCAGATATAGAACTAACCAAAGTAAAAGAAACCTGTTGTTGTTGTTAGGTGTTATCGAGTCGGTACCAACTCATAGAGACCTTATGCACAGCAGAACAAAACACTGTCTGATTCTGGGCCATGCTTGAGTCCATCAATGCTGCCACTTGGCCAATCCAGCTCATAAAACAAACCTACAAGACTGGAAATAGGGAACCACAGACATCAATTTGTAACAAAGATGATTACAAAGTAAAAAGAAGGAATAGTGTAGTTACTGAACTTCCAAATGGAGATGTCAAGTAGACTTCAAGGTAGAGCAGACTGTTTTAAACTTGGAAAGAAATTAATACATTTGTTACTTGGGTGAAAGGAAAGGCATTATACAATTGAACAGACCCATAGGCTGAACAGGTGTGGGAGTGAGAGTATGATTGTACCCACAAACATAAATTTGACAGAGAGGATATCTATAAATAAGTATTTTCTTTGCTGCAAATATATCCAGGAATGTGGAGGAGTACACAGGGGCAAAATTATGAAAACTTCTTAGATATAACCAAACACTTTGAGGGACTGAGTCACTGGGACTGGGGGCTGAGGACCATAGTTTCAGCAGACACCAAGGTTGATGGGTATAACATAGACTACAAAGACAATGTTCTACATCCTATTTTGGTGAGTGGAAATTGGTGGTGGTGGTGTGTTGTGGAGTTGGTTCTGAATCATAGTGACCCTGTGTATGGTTTTTGAGGCTGTAAATCTTTACAGAAGCAGAAAGCCTTATCTTACTTCCAAGGAACTACTGGTAGATTTGAACTGCTGATCTTGAGGTTAGTAGTCCAGCTCATAATCCACAATGCTACCATGAATCCTTGAGTAGTGATCATTAAGTGCTACTGAGTCAGTTCTAACTCATAGTGACCCTGTTCAGGGTTTTCAAGGAGCAGCTGGTGGGTTTGAACTGCCGACCTTGTGGTTTGCAGTCAAGTGCTGATCTTAGGGCCTTAAAAAGCCTGTGAGTAGCCATCTAAGGTGCAACTATTCGTCTCACCCCGTCTGGAGGAAAGAAGAGTGAAGAGAATCAAAGATACGTGGAACTGGAGTAATGGACCACAGCAACATCAGTCTTCATGACTTTGAGACCAGAAGAACTAGATGGTGCCCTGCCACCACTACCAACTGCTCTGAAGGGGATTACAATAGCTGTGCCTGGATAGAGTAGGAGAAATTGTGGAATAAAACTCAAAGTCATAAGACAGACCAGGCTAATTGGTTGGATAAAGACTGCTGGAACTGCTCAGACTATAGTCCTTACTCACTCTTCAGGTCTGGAACTGGACTCATTCCTGTGGTTCAATTTTCAGTCTAACAATAGACAGGTTTATAAAGGGAACAATAACTATAGTGAGGCATGGTAGTGGTGGTGGTAATGTGCCGTGGAGTCGGAACTGACTCATAGTGACCCTGTATAGGGTTTCCAAGGCTGTAAATCTTTACGGGAGCAGAAAGCCTCATCTTTCTTCCACGGAACAGCTGGTAGTTTCAAACTGCTGACTTTAAGGTTCGCAGCCCGATTTGTAACCACTACGCTACCAAAGCTCCTTATAATGAGGTATGTTGTTGTTGTTGTGTGCCGTGGAGTCGGTTCCGACTCATAGCGACCCTATACAGGGTTTCCGAGGCTGTAAATCTTTACGGGAGCAGAACGCTTTATCTTTCTCCCACGGAACAGCTGATAGTGAGGTATTGTTGTTGTTGTTGTTAAGTGCCGTCGAGTCGGTTCCGACCCATAGCGACCCTGTACAGGGTTTCCGAGGGTGTAAATCTTTATGGGAGTAGAAAGCCTCATCTTTCTCCCGCGGAGCGGCTGGTAGTTTCGAATCGCTGACCTTAAGGTTCGCAGCCCGATTCGTAACCACTACGCTACCAGAGCTCCTTGATAGTGAGGTATACACACCTTAAAATAATCAACTAGTAGATATCAAAAGGGCTGCATTTACCCAAGGACAAAGAGTTGGGAAAGAAGGAGGAATGGAAACAGCAAACATAAAGGATATGTATTGAGAGGATTGTAATCAACGAGATGAAAGAAAATGCGTATGAATTGTTAAATGTAAAACTTATCATCTCCGCTGTAAACTTTCGTCTACTGAATTCACAATAAAAAGTTTTAAAAAATAAAGAGAAGGTAGTTTTTCCTACTGCTGAGATTTCATGGAGAGGAGTGATGTTCTGGGTAACGTTCTCAACTATCTCTTCAAACAACACAGTAAGAAATATACTATAGTAATTTCTTATGCTTTTAAGTGCAAGCCACGGTCATACCATTAAAGAGAAATTTTGTAAAGTCTACTGTTATTGTAATTTACATTTTTGATTGCTAGTGAGTTTGAAGATTTTACATGTTTGTGAGCCATTATATTGTGCATGCATGTGTTTGTGGGGTGTGTGTACGTGTACGTGATTTACTGTGTCCTTTAGCCATTTGTTTATTTATTGGTGTCTGTAAAAGTTAAAGTTTTGTGTCTACTTGCTTGGGCCAGTATTTTCAAAGGTTTGGCAGTTAAGACATGCTAATCCCCACGAAGAGAAGGGAGTTTCCTTGGAGGGTGTCGAGTTTCTAATACATCGAACACTTGGGCAAAGCTTGTTGCTTTATTGTTGTTGTTGAATCTGGATCCTGCATCTTTCTCATCATCCAACCTCTGGCACTTTTGATTTGAGCCAGTGGCCTGCTCTATTGCCTGTGGATCCTGGGAGTCATCATCAGCTGGTCATCTTACCTGCCTGACCTGCCTGCTGTGTCTGGCCTGCCAATCTTGGTTCATCAGTCCTGCAGCTACCTGAGGCAGAAGCCTCCCTTCTGACATCTGACCAACTGACTTGAGACTTGCCCACCCCTACAACTGTGTGAGCCATTTCCTCTCTTTATATATACATATGTAAGTTTCACTGGTTTTGCTTCTTTAGAGAGTCAAGCCTAAGGTAGTGTCTCAGTGTTTTCCTTCTTAATTTCATTTTTTCCCCTATACTATGAGATGGAGTCCTGTTGTGGTGCCCGTAGGATAAACACTGAACTGCTAACCACAAGATAGGTGGTTCAAACATACCAGCAGCATCTCAGAATCCCTAGACAGAGTGGCTATGAGTTAGAACTGACTCAATGACACTTAACAACAAAACATACTATGGGATGGGAGCATGGTGATTCTGTAGGATAAGCACTAGACAGCTAACCACAAGGTCAGCAGTTCAAAGGACCAGCTGCTCTGTAGGACAAAGATGAGGCTTTCTGCTCCCATAAAGATTTATAACCTCAGAAACCTATACAGGGTTCCTGTGAGGCAGAATCAACTTGACAGAACTTGACAATGACAACATACTTTGGGATATTAATCATTATATTTATTAAAAATTCATTTTCTAATTTATGTTTCATGAAGCACATTTTTATCCTTTCTTAGATCTGCCCTAATACCACCAAATCACAATATTTTCAGTAAAAGTCAATTTAACAAGAATTTATTATGTGACAATCAACTTGGACCACAAGATTACCCAGTAAAAAATGGATGGGTGAGCAGAATCTATAAATAGTTCTAGAGAGCGCCCTGGATTTAGTTGGCTTAATATAGTGAAGTCCCTCAGTGGTTCCTTGGGACTTTGGAGGCATGTTTTTATTTAAAGGAAAAAAAACAACCCACCTCATTCCAAGAAAATTGGCAGCAGTCAAAATTAGCTCCTTAGGAATGAATTGAAGAATGATGGAGAGTGGGCTTGGAGAGATTGTGTAACAGCTACTTGCTAAAATTCTCTGGAAAAAAATACTCTGGAAAAATATGTGTGTATTTTACACATTTTGCAAAGAAAGTAGTCTTCAGTATGTTAAGATTTATGCATCATATGCACTCCAAACAAAGCAAAAAAAAAAAAACAAAAAAACTATATGGAAATTTCCAGGCCCAAGCAAAGCTATAATGGTTTTGTTGAAGCTTTCTCTTTCTTAAAGGATGACATTATGAAGGGCCTTTGGGACAGCTGATTTTCCATCTCCAGTGGGGGTGGGCACTCAATGCTGTCTCTGTAGACTTGTCCCTGTAAGTATTAACGTGCACTCCTGTGTCCCTAACCATAATTCCTATTACTATTTCTAAGAAAAAAATTTATCCCTCTAATAGAGGTTACAAGATGTTAAAAAAGAGATCAGTGAAAGAAAGTAGGGGAATAATATTGAGAAAAGCATTAGTTTTGGGAGTCAGACTCCTTGAATCTCATCTTGGCCCTGCCATATCTATGCTCTGTGACTTTATGAAAATTACTTGACCTCTCTAGGTCTCAGTCCTTCATTTGTAAAGATATGATTTCAGTATAGTCTCATAAGGTTGTTAAGATGATGAAATGAAGCAATGCATGTAACACATATGATGCCTGCATGGTAGTAAGTGCTGAAAACTGAAAATGTTAGCGATCACAAAGTCAACAATGGTAAAGTGTATAATGTTACTGATGAATGATGTCCAAAGGGGATTAAGGTATTTCTTTTTAATCTTAGGTGAACTGCCAAGTTGGAAATTAGAGAGTTGGTTTCCCAACAATCTTAACTGTTCATATACAGAGATAATGTGGAATGCATTCCTCTGATGTTGTGGTTGAAGGGCATTGGAGTTGGAGAGGATCATGAAGAATTCCTACCCATGCCTGGCATGGGATTTTCCTCAAAGACCCTTTGCAGTACTTCTTTTAGGGACTTTTTGCTTTTCCTTTTTCTAATACTACCTACCACAAAATAAACAACTGGGTTGACACTGCTATTGATAATGGACAACATATTCATATAAGGAAAGAAATACCACACAGAATAATTATGGCCATAGTAACCCATGATGAGTAGGACCTTTGTGGGCATGGCAAAGACAAGAAACAGTACCACAGTGACCATGATGATAACATAGAGCTTGGCTGGTTGACGTGGCTTCCGGTTACAGCCAACTTTGATAAAGAGAATCACACTAGAGAAGACCATAAGAGGAACAAAGACGAAGGTCAAGGCACAAGAAAATATGTACACGTATTGACATTCTGGGAATTTAGGCTGGTTTTGGAAAATACAAATGAAATTCTCTAACCCAGATACAAGCAAAGAAAGTGCCCACAACAGGGTGCAGGTTACAGCAGATTGGTGCTTTGGGCGTTGGCACTGGTACCAGATGGGATAAAGCACTGAAAGGCACCGTTCTACGCTGATGGCTGTGAGGAGGTGGAGACCTGTGTTATAGCCAAAATTCACCAAGTAGATGATGTAGTTCAATTGAGTATCATTTTGGGGGTAATTGTCAGTTATTATCAGCAGCTGCAAGACTAATGTACCGAGAAGGACCATGAAGTCAGCAATAGCGAGGTGTAGAATGTAGACAGTAAAAGGCTTCCTTTTGATGTAGAAGAGAAGAAATATCACAAGTCCATTTCCAGATACTCCTAGTACACAAATGAACAGGGAAATGTAGATGTGAATGGGGAGTGAATTTAAATCGAGAGGGGGCTGAGTTGTTCGCTTTGCTGACAAGTTTGCTTGGTCCAAGGGCTCATTGCTGGTGTAGAGTGTGGATCCCAGAGGATTCAAAGTCATCGTCAATAGCTCCATTCTTGGGAAGTCACCAGTCTTCGATACCTATTGTCAGAAATGGGAGATGGAATGGATGGGTGTATTTGCACCACATCTCATGAGACATTGTTATGAAGCAGCATCCTCCATTTAGTGGTGTGGGAGGAAGAAATGGAGAGCATAGAGCATGTTTTACTTTACCTTCCTCTCTTCTCCTCAGCCCTGCTCACCCACTCCCCCGCCCCCCCCCGTTCTACCATTCTATCATTTCAGGATTGGGCAGTGTTTTGTTCTGTTGTGCATAGAGTCACTATGTGTCAGATCCAACTCGACAGCACCTAACAATAATAATTTTTCCATCCAGGCAGAACCCACTCACTTCTCCACATTTCCTCCATTAAGGTAGTTATTGCCTCACACCAGGATTCTTCTTCCTCCTTGGCCCAGTGGGGAAGTTCAGTGGATGCCCAATTTGTCCCCTGACTGCCTGAAAGAGATTTTCCAAGGGTTCTTACCAGAACTAGATAGCAGAATTTGTACAGGACTTTAAAAAAAGACTCTCATTAAAAATGTACAAAACCCAATATACAAAAGAAGTAAAGAAAGTGATTTTAGTGCATTTAAAAGATTGTTGATAATTTTTATCTCATCTCCCTTTTTGTTCTGTTCTTTCTTCCCTGTGCCCTGGTTTTGAGTTTGTAACATCTACATCATCCCTCTGAAGTTCGTTCATCCAGCAACAAACACAAGCAGTAGATGGTCATGTCTGCTTCTGTGTGTTAAGGGTTATCCACTAGAACTTAGCTAACAGTACATCTGTTCATAAATGGGAGAGTTGGGCAGGAAGACGGGGAGAAAAGATGTTCTGTTGGAATTGGGGTTCAATTGGGAAAGGCCACTTAGAATTCATAGACAAAAAGGTTTGTGGTATCCAAGACCAAGAGAGCCTCATGTCCACAGATTTTACAAAATAGTGTGACATCTGGAATGACAGTTTCTCAGACATTACTCAAGTGTTACCTGGATGATGGCCTCACCCAACCCGACCGTGATGTGGGGAAGGAGCAGGGCTCAGGAAAATGGTGCTAAAGCAAGACCCTCCTAAATTGAGGTCCACTATGACAAGATCGGTGGTTCAAGCTCACCAGCTGCTCCTCGGAAACCCTATACAGGGTCACTATGAGTCAGAACCAACTTGACAGCACTTCACAACAACAATGACTATGGTGACACGAGGTGGGTTGTTCCTTTGTGAATCTTGACAGCAACTCCCTATTGATGAATAGACACTGTGTCCAACAGTCACCTGTCAGTCCCCCTGGGCAGTAGATGGATTCGTAACCTGTAAAGTAGACGGTGTATACAACAGAACCATTCTCTACTGGGGTTGCTGTTGGAAGGGGTGTGTGAAGAGGGGAGAAAACCACAGCAGGGGTCTGTCCTTCCTTCCTTGCAGACTTCCCATCTGGGCTGACTCTTCGTTTGCCTGTCTGCCTTTCTTGGACCCAGAAATTGGCTCTCAAGTTTCCCTTTCCACGCAACCAGTCACAGTGTTTGGTGAATCTCTCCCTTCACTACACCTCCCTGCAGAAAGGAAAACCCTCTGTGGTCTCCCCTTCTCTTAAAACAGACCTAGGGCTGTTTCCTTAGGGTTTCTTGTTGTTGTTAAGTTGTCATCCAGTCGGTTTTGACTCATTGTGACCCTGCATAGGGTTTCTGAGGAGCACCTGGTGATACTGCTTGGTTTCGTGGGGAACAGTTAACAAACAGGAATGTTTCTGGAAGTCTTTGATCTTCACAGGCACTGGGACTGATCCTTCGCTCTTCACCCAACAAACCACAACCTCCCAGAATATAGGAGTCTCAGCCCCAACTTCTTTACATGTTTGTTTGTTTTGTTTTTTGTATAAAACCATGACTTTTCTTGATTATAGAAGTAATGACAAATTAATTTCTCAAACCGCAGACAATACAAAAGAAATAAAAAACAAGTGACCTGGGGAATGGGCAAAGAACATGGAACAATTTACAAAGAAAGAAATATCAAGGCCAATAAGTATCTGAAAAAGATCCAACCTCTGTGCCCAAGGCTGCCTCTTCCCCTCCCTCCACTCCCATCCAAAGACAACTTCTATGTGGAAATAGTTCCTGGAATCTACAACGTAAGCAGTTTTGTTCCCGCCGTTTTAGCTGAACTTTTTTTTGCCATCAGTGTTTTACTGCTACTAAAATGTCTTAAAGAATAAGACTGTTGATGAATACATAACATGCTGGTTTATCTTTTTGTTATTTTTTTTATTATCAAAATTTCCTAGTATTAGATATCTACATGCTAATAATTTCCCACAAATAGCAGCATGGTGAACATCCTTTTATCCCTATTTTCCCCTGTATCTCTGATTGCTTTCTTAGGCTAAATGACTTCAAGTGGTGTGGCACTGTAGGATAAGCACTGGACTGCTAACCATAAGGTTGGCAGTTCAATCCTACCAGTTGCTCTTTAGAAATCCTATACATGGTGGCTATGAGTCAAAACTGACTCTATGGTATTTAACAACAGCAGCATAATTACTTGTGGGGTCCTTGGGTGGTGTAAAGGGTTAACAAGCTCAGCTGCGAACTGAAGGACAAGATGCTTGTGTTCACCAGAGGCATCCTGAAAGAACAGCTTGCTCATCTAGTTCTGAAAAATTTGCCTTTAAAACCCTATGGAGCACTGTTCTTCTCTGACACACCTGAGGCTACCGTGAGTCAGAAATTACTCAACAGTAATTGGCATAATTACTAGTTTAAAACCATAAGGAATTCTAAGACTTTGAGGCAGAAAAACATAATGATTTTGAGCATGGGTTTTGGGGTCTGAAATTTGGTTCTGAAATCTTGACTCCAGATTACCAGTTGTCTTATCTTGGGTAAGGAGACTCTGGATGGTACAAATGGTCACATTCTCACTGAATGGTTCCCAGTTGGAACTCAACAAGAGGCACCTCAGAAGAAAGCTTACTATTCGGCTTCCGAAAGGTCACAGCTTTGAAACCCAACGGAGCACAGTTCTACTCTGCAAAAAACATAGGGTTGCCTTGAATCGGCATAGATTCAATGCCAGTTGATTTGGTTTTGTGTGGGCTATTAATCTTTAAACCTCAGTTTTCCTGCCTGTAAAATCGAGGACCTCCCATGGTTGGTGAGGAAATGTAAACAACTTCATGTTGTAAAGAAGTGTTTGTAAAGTACTTGCCGTAAGTGCACAGTGATAGTCTGAGCTCAACAAAATCAGTTAGTGGTATGACCATTCTCAAGAGTTTGTACTAGGTTATGCTTCCCTACTTTAGACATCAAGGAGCTCTGGTAGCATAGTGGTTATGAATCGGGCTGCAAACCTTAAGTCCAGCAGTTCGAAACTACCCTCCGTGGGAGAAAGATAAGGCATTCTGCTCCCGTAAAGATTTATAGCTTCAGAAACCCTGTACAGGGTCGCTATGGGTCGGAACCGACTCGATGGCCCTTAACAACAACAACAACTTCAGACATATTCTCAGGAGGGACCAGTCCCTGCAGAAGGACACCATGCTTGGTCAAATGGAGGGTCAGAGAAAAAGAGGAAGACCCCCAACGAGATGGATGGGCACAGTGGCAGCAACAATGGGCTCAAGTGTGACAATTTGGAGGATGGTGCAGGACCGGGCGGGGTTTTGTTCTGTTCATAAGGTCGGAACTGACTCTCCAGCACCTAACAACAACAACAACAACAACAACAAATGCAGGTTGGAAGGAGCCCTGGTGGTAAGATGCTTAAGTACTCATCTGCTAACCAAAAGATTATTGGTGTGAACCCATAAGCACCTCCATAGGGGAAATAATATGGTGATCTGCTCCCGTGGGGGCAACTCTACTCTGTGATACAGGGTCGCTATGAGTTGGAATGGAGGCCTGGGGTGGCACTGTGGGCTCATGTGCTGGACCGTAAGGTTGGTTTGAACCACAAGTTGGCGGTTCAAGCTCACCAGCTGCTCCTCGGAAACCCTATCCAGGATCGCTATGGGTCAGAACTGACTTGATGGTACTTAACAGTGAGTTGGAATTGACTCTGCAGAAACCATCAAGTGCACATTGGAGTTCTTGAGTGGTGCAAACAAGAATGATCTTCGCTGCTAACTGAAAGGCGGGCGGTTCGAGTTGTCCCAGAGGTGCCTTGAAAGAAAGACCTGGTGATCCTCTTTCAAAACCTCAGCCATTGAAGATCTCTGGAGCACAGTTCCACTCTGGCCCACTTAGGGTGGCCAGGAGTCAGAATCAACTCCAGGGCTACAGGTGAAGAAGGAGCACTTGGATCTTATTTGCAGGTCACCTTGTCCCTCCAGCTACACGAGTTTTTATTTATGCTAATAGCGTAGTGGTTACAAATCGGGCTGTGAACCGCAAGGTCAGCAGTTCGAAACTACCAGCTGCTCCGTAGGAGAAAGATGAAGCTTTCTGCTCCCGTAAAGATTTACAGCCTCGGAAACCCTGTTCAGGGTCGCTATGGGTTGGAACTGACTTGACGGCACTTAACAACAACAACTTTTCTTCACCAAAGCTCATCAGTAAGGAGGTGGATGTAGACCCCTTGTTCACTCAAACTACTCTTCTTCCTGTCCTTTTTTTTGCCTCTTTCCCTCCACTAAGTCTGCCACAATTGTCTCCACCCTGGGACAATAACTGTCTCCACCCTGGGACAATAACTGTCTCCACCCCGGGACCTGGTAAGAAGCTGGAGGTTGGGAGCAAGTAAGGTTGGGAGCGTTGAAGGAAGAAACTTCCAGCAGCAACTGTGGCAGAGAGGGGACCTGGAGGCAGCCTGCAGCTGGGCTCGGGTGAGCCTGCTCATGTTCATGGCCGCCCTTAGCAAGTATGAACAAATAAGGGCATTGTGCTCTGTTGACAGAAAGTTCCCCAATCAAACTTTCTACCTGGACCCAAGTGCTTTAGCAAACAAGAGTGTGCTTGCTTCAATTTAGTAAAGTTGTATCACTCCTGCTTGCAAG